AGACTGCATTAAAATGGATTATCGCTTCTACCAGTGGTAAACGTGTCCAACTCCCTCACTTAATGGAATTGCGACATGGTTGATAAAATGCCTGTAGCCATTGTACAGTGAACTAGTGAGAGAATGTGAAGAAAACTTTTTAAACTTGTTCATAGAAAGAGAGATTCGAAATGTAAATGAGAATTCCAAATTTTGTATGCCTCTTCCTCATTCACCAATGTTCTCCGATGAATTTGCTATGTAATAAACTGACAAGACGATGCATACATAGTGCAAATTCTGTATTTCCCGTGATCAAATTCCTTTTCAATACTATTTCCTTCCTAACAATGAATCCTTTAAGGAAACGAATGATTTGGACATACAGTTACCCCTTAAACAGATATTAATCGACTTCACTGAATAGACTTGTGAAAGGTGTAATTGGCGAATCGCGATTTTATTGTTGTCATACGGATGACACATTCTTTATTTTGAAGAATGACAATGAAACAGTGATCCTTTTTGAATAAATTAAATGATTTACATTTGGTAGAGAACTACACTGTCGAGAAGAAACCGACAGACAAACCATTGCACTAATTTTTTGAGTCTTTTGCCTTTGAAGTATAGTCTCAATCTAGTGAAGTGCCTGCTTTTTGAAAATAAAGTAATTTATCAAAATGACTCACAGTGAAAATTGTAAGATTTTTCGTGAACGGCTCGGCAAAAATGGGTATCTAAGGGAATCCCTAGACAACCCCGCGTCGATGGCAGAAAGGTAGGGTGGTCGCCAGCCAGCTGAGTCAAACCGGGTTCACCGTTGATCATCTCCACCCCAAACGAGCGAAAAGTCAGTCTGATATTTAGATCACTTCAATCCGGGTAGCATGCTCTACTAGTTGACGCGAATGGTACCAAATACTCATCTCAATTAATCAGTAAAGTGCAGTTCCAAGCAAAGTACGACAAGAGTGCTGAACGATGCAATACAGATATTTACCATAAAAGTTCTGCTGATCCTAGCTTCACTTTCTCAAAAGCAAGTACCAGGATAACAAAACATTCCTGATGCAGTTTTCATCAGACACTGCACTTTGCTAGCATTATCTGTACGATCGAACAGATCGAGTTTGCATCATAATGGCATGGTGACGGAGGTTTTACGGGTTTAATAAACACAATAACAGTATTAATAATATTCTAGCGATGATTAAAATGTCAAACACCTTTCAATAGTTGAAAAGTCGTTTTTAGCTCTGAAAATTGTGATTCCTTGTGCTATTAAAACTACATATATACGCATAATATTTAAAAAGTACTTAATGAATAGCTAGCATGGTGTATCATATCAAAAAACTCAACTTGCTTTGCAATAAGCATGTGTCCGAGTGCTGACGTTATTGCCTACAACAGTCATGATTGTAAGGGAATGGCCAAATTAGGCAATGCTTGGATGAATATGCAAATAATCATAATGCTTTCACTGGAGTCCACTTGAAGAACGTTATAAGCTTGATTAGCTTGACTGCTTTACAGACTAAACAAAATTCAACTTTAGACATCCAGAATGTGAGAACACACAAATGGCGCTGAACACAACAATCAAGTCCATCACGTGGATCCAATCCACTAAACCGCTTGATTCAGGTCAAATGCCTACTCCAACCAACTTGGATGTGAAATTTGGTGTAGACAAAATATTTCAGTATTACTGCATGTGAGATTTATTGACTGCTCACTAACCAGTCTTTAGGAAATTGGGAAATTCGTCCTTTTTGAGGTATGATTAGCATACAGTGCTTCAGCAGAGGCATTGGTGATCATGATTTCCATCGCTACAATTGTCACTTAGTGCTTTCCTCAGCGTATGTGGAATCCATCTTCATTTGATTTGCTCTATTTGTCGGGCGAAATGACGTTGGTTACTTGGTTGGAAAAGCTTCTTGTGATTAATCCTTTCCAGCCAAATGATTTTCAGTACACAGCGGACGCAAGTATTTAAAGCCAAACTTCAAGCACCACTAACTACTAATCAACGAATGACCTCGAACGCACCAATCACATGATGAAGGCATTTTTGTGTATGGAACTCATAAATTTATCGGGGAAAATGCATAAAAACTGTAGAAAAGTGTTACAGAGGATACCTTCCTCTCAAATCTGACAAAAATTGCTTTCAGTTTTAGGTTGGAGTATCAACACAGCATAATTCTATTGTGGGTAAGAATAATTTTGATAAAGTTTCATAGTGTTATACAGCAATATTTACTGAGCAAATTGTACTCTAAATGTCATTAATAAATATTACTGTATAACACTGTGAGACTATCAAAATAAATTTATCCACAATGGAATTATACTCTTCCAAAATGCACAAGTTTTATTCTTATATAAACAGAGTAACCACATTCTATGCATGTAATTATATTGATTTTCTAACCCTGATCTTTCCTAAACCTAACCATAACATGAAAATATCCCCAAACTAACTGTAATCAAACTCGAACTATCCCAAAATTGCCTTCATCAAGTCAATCTAACCCTTGTCCTTGGCTTAAAGTGTAACTTAATCTTCCCCAAACTAAAGCTGATAATTGCCAGAAATCCCATTTAATAGCGTAACACTTAGATTAGCATATTTTCGTGTTGATGACAAGAATATTTACCAGGTTTCACTAAATTGCTCAATGAGCGTTTGAAGGTTATTGGTGCGGACGCACTCCATTGGTAGCTAGTGGTGCTTCAAGTTTAACTTCGCCTTGTAAAAGTCTGCAGACTGTTTGAAACGCAGCGAAGTTCAACTTTAGACATCCTGGATGTCGATAGGCAGATATCGAGATAGGAGTGCTGCAATAACTCTGAACTCATTAACTCCATTAAAAGTTGCATTTTATGTAGAAGGAGATATATTTCTGAAATTAATGGATAATAAAACAAAAGTAAAGTTAGACAAAGTAACTTTCCGTAGAAGTCAAATTTTAAGCTACAGAAGCCACTGACCGGTAAATGACCTTGAACGCTCCACCCACATGATGAAGGCAAGTTTTGCGTGCAAACTTCAACAACTGCTTCCCAAAAAATGCGAATGCACGGCCATTCATAGAAATGGGGAATTTTCCAACATTTGGTGTATGTTTGAAAGAAAACGCATGAAATCACCGAAAATACCCATTGAGTCATGAAGAAAATAATAGGCAGATTCAGCCGAGAAAATTTCCTTTATCGACGAAAACATTTTCAGAGGCTGCACAGTCGTATTTATACATAGAAAAAAATATAGTGGCTTATTATTGAGTATGTAGCAGTAAATAATTCCCCAAAATTATTGACCACAGCAATCATCAGCGAACATTGGATGCTGACCGCCACTGTTTAAGTCGACTTGTTTAGCTGAAGGCTTTCGGTCAAGCATCCCCGCCATTTGGTACTTCGTCTTGTCACTTTCGTGCACGATCACTAGGCAGCTAACCGTTGGTCTAACAACTTGTTTTGGTCCAGAAATATATCGCGTAATTTGGACGATCAAATACTGTCTTTTGCCTTGCTTTTGTCCACGAGAAACGAATACTATAGAGGCTGTTGGTATAAGGTCTTCCGTTAGTACACCCCGTACAGTTCACGAACGTCTATACCGTCAGCCTTTTAAAGTAATAGAGGATGATATACTCGATATAATTACTCATAAGTGGCTTTAGAAGTGAAAATTAAAAGTTGTAAATTACGTGATGCTCAACGGAACAAAGATAGAAGTTTGATAAAAATTAAAATCGCTCTTGAATGGAAATAAAGGTATTTGAGTGTCAATTTAACGAGTGTGAAGAGGGTGTGAATATATACAATATATATAATATACAAAACACAAGAAAACACACTAAACGCGGTATCTTTCTCTGGAATTACTTTAGAATACCTCCCAGTATCAACTGCTATGTTAGGCTAGTTTCTGTACACATATTCACCGAGATGACTTAAGATGAGCTGTTTTTGCGGAGCATTTATCTCTCTTATCCTATTGTGTAGTCCTCCCCAAAAAGCCTTCGGTTGAATTACTATTGTTTCAAGTAAGAGGATCGATGACTACTTACCAGGGAAATGTGAATAATAAAGTAAACTAAAATAAATGACGCCAATGATAAATTTCTCTTTAATTGTAACACTAAACTTAAACCTAACCCTAATAACAACCCTTATCTAAAACGAAATTCTAACCCTAATGCTAATTGTAACACTTATCCTAGTCCTAACTACAATATAAAAACCTACTTAACTCCTCAACCTAATGAGCCATTAACACATTGTCGGACCAGTATTATAAATCGTGATCAAGGAGAAATTGGGAGCAAGGGTGATGATTAGCATTGATACCTGATAAAAGAAAATGACAATGGCTCATGGATATCGACAAGCATGCTGTCAAGGTCATTGGATTGACGCAAAACCCAGAAGCGTGATCTCAATCGTCAAGAAGTGATCTGAAACAGAGAGCAAAGCGCACGTTAGCAGGGTGATCACACAAGTGCTGCGTGCTAATAAGGATGGAGATTCAAGGTAAAGGACTACATTTACAACCAATCACATTACAACCAGGTGAGAGGGAGAGGGCACTTCTATTAGTCATTTCTTGCATTGTCTTGGGCGACCGATCCCTGAACGCTTCGTAGCCAACCTGAAATTAGACATGCATATTGTAGGCATTAGAAAACCTCCGAACTTACCATGCCTTACACTACCACCGTCCCATAGGAACACTGCCCGCAGAACTTACGTGAACTAAGGCCTGTTGCTGGAAATTTTTAATCCATGGAAATGTGTGACTGTACTATGAGGGGGACTGAATTCCTGGATCCTACAGGCGCAGTCACTTAGTACCTCTAGTCAAGTAAATGGTCCTTCCCAGCGTCTTTGGAATTTAAGAGCCTTCCCTTTAGGTGGTGCCCCCTTAAGTAGCATTACCTTGTCTCCTGGCCCCAAAAGCGACCCATGCGCTTTCCTATCATAGTGTAACAACAGAAGACAAGGGCCAGGCAACAGATCGTTTTATTATGAAAATCAACACGTATTTATACATCTTTCAACTACATTATTATAGACAAGCGCAGTCATCTGATTGGTTGTTTAGGTAGACAAACGCAGGCTTCTGATTGGTTGTTTCGGGATTCCTTGACAAATAGAGTTCTCTCTGCGAATCATATTTTGCCACGTTAACTTTGCTGTGATTGGTTGTTGACTCAGGCTTGTTCACGGCCCATATTAGTGACCTAGACCTTAACGTAGATTAGTGCCAACCAATCGGCTAGCAGCCTGCTCTCACCACACTCGTCCCCCCGTCAAATACGTGCGACTGAAGTCGGCTTGATCTACTTGGTGCAGGTGTCATCGTTGGCTTGTCTCGCTGTATCCATTTCTGGAGCTCGCTGACGTTCACGCGCCTCTCATTGTTCGCCATTGCGACTGTGTCTGCGTAACCCCATCTCGAAGTGACCATATATGGTCCTTCCCACTTTGGAAACTGTTTGCCTGACCCTGTCGAACATTCGTCCATACTTCGGCCCACACCTTCATATGCTGCTTTCGCCCGACCTCCCAGCAGCGTCTCAGGTAGCAGCTCCATCGCTGACAGATCTTGAACGCCACTCAACTGCGCAGAAGCCTTGAAGTCCTGCCCGAAGATCCATATGTCTCCATCAAAAACTGCAGGGTATAGGCTTTTCATTTGTCGGTAGGCAGCGACACCAAATGTAACAACAGAAGACAAGGGCCAGGCAACAGATCGTTTTATTATGAAAATCAACACGTATTTATACATCTTTCAACTACATTATTATAGACAAGCGCAGTCATCTGATTGGTTGTTTAGGTAGACAAACGCAGGCTTCTGATTGGTTGTTTCGGGATTCCTTGACAAATAGAGTTCTCTCTGCGAATCATATTTTGCCACGTTAACTTTGCTGTGATTGGTTGTTGACTCAGGCTTGTTCACGGCCCATATTAGTGACCTAGACCTTAACGTAGATTAGTGCCAACCAATCGGCTAGCAGCCTGCTCTCACCACAATAGTATTCTTTCTGGTAATTCTGGTTTGTTTGGAGTGTAAACCTAGTCATTTGGTATGCCTTGCTCAGGTTTCTCCTCAGTCTGATTATGTGTTCAGATACAATCGGTGTGTCCTCTCCTAGTGCGTTTGAAGTCAGATCAATTGGCAACATGAATTCTCTCCCAGTGACCATATGATGAATCGTTTGACGCGCAGCTTTGTGAATGCCTGCTCTGAACGCCATTAAGTACTGCGAGAGTGATCGATCAAATCCCATAGGGATGTTTTGGTCTACAAATGCCTTCAGGAGTGATTTAAGTGTCCAATTGGTGTGTTCAAACAAACTATTTCCCTGTGGGTGGTATACAGTTTTGCATGTTTACCAGATACCCATTAAACGAAAGAGTTCGCTGACAACGATACTTTCAAAGTTGGATTCTCGATTTGAGTGTAGCTGAAATGGTTGCCCCAAACGGCTGACCAAGCGGTCGAAAACTGATTCTGTGATGGTTACAGCATCGATTCGTGAAATCGCGATAGCCTCGCATCATTTGGTAAAATGACCTACCATGACAAAAATATAGTTATTGTAAATAAATGTGAACACTGAACTTTTGAAAATTGGCCTCGGTCGCCGTTTGCGGGCAACTCGAATGTGCGAATGATTCAATCATGTACAAGTTGGAAGAAGACGAAGGAATACGAATAAAAGTACAATACATTCCTTGTAAAACATTTGTTTATAGACTTTGTGCAGAGTATTGACTTTAACTACCGAAGAATACAACCTCTCGTTCTTTGTGTTTTGGGGTCAAAGTCCATACTGTACTCAGTATAACTGTTGATTCGGAGCGTCTTCGGAAATAATAGGAACTCAGGGCTAAGTTCCTTGGCATTCATTACTTCTGGAGGTTACCGGGAGAGGCCCAACCAAGTCTATTTACACTAGGTCATTTGGATGACCAATTATGATGGTTTATAAGGGTGCCTTATCATATTTGTGCAGAGCCTCAATAGTTTGTGGTACGTCGCAGGGATCACAGAAATCTACGATGTGCTTTCTCTGATGAGACCACCAATAACGCTTTTTGGCCGCTTCGACCTCTTTTCCCGAGCCCGTGTCGCCTAACTGCTGGTGTAATGACAATAGCACTATGGGTTGTGTCGAACATGGTCTCACAGCGCTACAAGTATGATGGTTCTATGTTGGTAGTAAAGGATGTTATCGAAAATCTTCAAATCATCCCACAGACACAATAAACACCGAGTTTCCCATTCAAGCTTACTTATTTAATGGGTTTTCGGTAGTTCGCCTCCACTTAGAATACGATCATAAATCAAGGCCAGCTAAGGGTCTGAAGACTGAAGTTCGGGCGAGCTGTTTGAAGTATTAGCCATGGGTGCTGGGGTGTGCAAGGAAAAATTCTTCTTACAATGGAAGTCGACACCCTCAAAAACTCACAAGAGACAGCGTCTGAATACCGCCTGCCCTGCATAGACTGACGAGTAAGCCTTGCTGAGACGCAAAATGAACCGGTTAATGGATTTATCTTGTTTCTGGATTCACTCTTGATGTCTTTTCAGAGATTCCATATGAGGCACTGACGGCATTATACGTAGTCTAAGAGTACTCAGGAGGGTAATCAAGACCAAATGAGGATAATCCAAACTAATTATGTGGATTTCTAGGATCCGTCGATGGTGAATGCATTTGGGTGATCCACATTCATCAGGTCGACGTATCGACGCACCATGGCAGATCCCAGATCGAAGTCATCCCTGACCTCCAGTTATACGGCATAGGATGGACATGACTCGACACAGGCTGACTTGACTGAAACCTGGAGCCGTAGCTTCGGCTAATTAATAATAATAATAATGTATATTCTTATATGAACATATAAATTTACATGAAAATGCATGCCATTTTTACAGGCACAACCAACTATGATATAATATCAAGTCGTAGATTGTCTACAAGTTAATAATGTTTCAACAGTTAAATATTTGATATATATATATATATATATATAAATACACTCATTGTCTGGACTAGGCTGTATAGTTATTGAATTGTACAATTGTCCTCCAGGTTGAGCGGGAAAATCGACTTCGTTTCGTTCTCATCCTGTGGTAGTAGGCATAGCCATCCAATATTGAGGTAAGTACAACGTTTACAAGGGATTGAAAGCTGATTTAGAAAAGTGAAAGTGCTAAGGTGAATCAATAAAGTGTAATGAAATGGGTAAGTGCAAGTATCACTAATAAATGCATTAATAAAGGAAACTCCCTAGGCTGACAACGTTCATTTGCAATGTATAATGCTTCCTGTACAGTTTGCACTACCATGATGTCCACTTTTGTTTTTAATACATTTTTTCCTTATGCTGGTTTTTTTATTTTATGCCTTTTTGTGCATTTGGTGCACAACTGTACCCTACAGAGAATAGGAATAGAATAAGTCGAATCAAATTCATAAAAAGCTTTAAAATGTTAGGTTTAATGGAATATAATGAGGGTCAAGTAAAGACGTTATTAGAAAATAAATGAGATAAGACATTTTGAACTGGTATTTAAAGATCCGACAATGGACAGCAAGTTAGTTTATAAGATGCCCCATAAATCTGTGCAGATCCCACATGGTCGCATCTCAACAATAGGCTGAGTGAATGGTATATATTTAAAGGCAGAAGCATGATCTGTCAAGGCGTTCATTATTATCTTTTTCAAGATAAAGATCTAAGCCCTCATAAAAATCAGAAATATCTCGAGCCTTCAAATTGTATATTGCTGTTCCTGCAGAATGGGGCGATTCACCTTAGTGACCGCCACCATATCTACTGATCAGCTAGCGCCACCCTCCCTCCTTTTTTGATGTTAAGCTCTGAGACTGTGATAATTATGGCTACCGCAAATATATTGCTTGGTACCAGACATGTTCGTACCTCGTATTCCATCTCCCTAGCTTTCTTAACGAGTGCTTCCAATAGGTCTCCACGTACATCTTTATGAACATATTATATGTGTTTGCATGCGTCCCAATGAACAGATTACTTTATAAGAAGTTAAAACCTTAAAGAATAAAAAGAATAGGTTTCGTGAATAGTGGAGCAAGATTTAGCAGAACAATATAGTTAGGGATCAATGTAGGTAGTATGAACTGAAGGTAAGGTCGGTTGGCAGGACTTAGTGTACTAAATTACATGACAGTCTTATATATAGTAAACATTTGACATTGCAAAGTAACGTGTCTAAACATATTATAAAAAGATATTAACAGAACCAACAAAATTTCAGCATTTGGTTAACAATACTACAGAAGGGTAGTTAGTACTACAGGTAGTCGTAAAGTAAATCAATCTATGTATGATAAGAGCATAATCAGTGTCATAATTCGTATTATCAAAGAATACATTAGGCTCAATAACTGAGTGTTATAAGGGAAATAAGAGCGGTAAACCAAGAGAACATTTGCCGCATAAGTATTTTAATGACAATCTAATTTCAAGTATTGAACCTACATAATTACTAGGTATTATTATGTTAGTCTGGGAACTAGTGTACTTTCTGTAGTTAAATATTGAAATGCCATTTTCTCTCCACTCTACCAGCAGTTGAGATCTTTGAGGCGGGCTAGGATGGACATGTTAATGTGTTTTTCTAGGCTCCTTTTGAAACTGTCAGGCCTTTCACAGGATCTAATCTCAGAGGATAGTTGGTTCCAAAGTTTGCAATATTTAATGGTGAAGAAGTTAGCTCTAGTGGTGAGTTTATGGGTGTTAACCTTGAGAAGGTAGTTATGGTTGCGTAGTCCATACGATTTAGGATTAGCCCAGGTTATGGACGAGTTACTGTTACAGTGCTTTCTTATAACTTTAATTGATCAACAATCTCGTTGGGTGCTGTCTGTTTGACAGTAGAAGAGTTACTCAAAGTCTCAGTGAGTCGGAACTCAGAAGAAGAAAGCTTTTCGTTGGCAGGCTCGCCATTCATGCAATCCCGATCGTCAAGCTGTGATCTGAAACAGAGAGCAAAGCGCACGTTAGCAGGGTGATCACACAAGTGCTGCGTGCTAATAAGGATGGAGATTCAAGGTAAAGGACTACATTTACAACCAATCACATTACAACCAGGTGAGAGGGAGAGGGCACTTCTATTAGTCATTTCTTGCATTGTCTTGGGCGACCGATCCCTGAACGCTTCGTAGCCAACCTGAAATTAGACATGCATATTGTAGGCATTAGAAAACCTCCAAACTTACCATGCCCTACAAATGCTGATTTTGAGCTTCACCATTTCGGTTTCCAATGACACACATTCATAAAAACATGGATTAGTTTCTGTGATATTATCAAATTGGACTTAAACACCATAACTTACCACTGTCTCGCGACTTTACCGATGACCTTTTTGCTCTCGCTAAGCAAGGTAATGAAACCCAGCAAATAATGTTTTCATGGTGGACAAAATATACTCTGTGAAACATTATGTTAGAGATTGGATGCATGGTTAATTTCAGATTAGCTTTGGAATATTCGCCTTTATTATGTAGTTGGTGTGTTCTAAGTCATAAATCTATCAGTGCTTAAGGTTCAACTCTGCGCACAATCCTTATTCCTGTCCCTAGCTTCTGCCCTAAAGCTAACCTTAGCCCTGGACTCTAAGGCTAATCTTGAAATCAGTAATCCAAACTAACAGTTTAAATTTACCGACGCATTTTGG